TGTTTTGTGAGATAAATCATGTGTTTGGAGGCTCATTTCGTGTTCCTATTACCTCCCCTTTTTGCTGCAATATGTGTTGGACATTGTTTTGTGAGATAACACATGTATTTAGGGGTTCATTTCATGTTCCTATTACTCAGACTTTTGCTGGAATACATGTTGAAATTGTTTTATATGTTAGAAAAATTATATTTGGGGCTCATATTTTGCTTCTCTTGCTGCCCCTTGTTGAAATATATGCTGGAAGTTAATTTTTAAATGCTGGAAATTACATTTGGGGCTCGCATTTCGCTTCTCTTGATGCCCCTTGTTTTAATATGTGCTGAGAGTTATTTTTAAATGTTGGAAATTACATTTGGGGCTCACATTTTGCTTCCCTTGCTGCCCCTTGATGGAAAATATGTTGGAAATCATTTTTCAAAGTTGGAAAATTATATTTGGGGATCACATTTTGTTTTTCTTGTTGTCCCTTGATGGAAAATATGCTGGAAATTACATTTGGGGCTCACATTTTGCTTTTCTTGTTGCCCCTTGATAAAAAATATGCTGGAAATCATTTTTCAGCATTTCGCTTCTCTTGATGCCCCTTGTTTTAATATGTGCTGAGAGTTGTTTTTAAATGTTGGAAATTACATTTGGGGCTCACATTTTGCTTTTCTTGTTGCCCCTTGATGGAAAATATGTTGGAAATCATTTTTCAAAGTTGGAATATTATGTTTGGGGATCACATCTTGCTTTTCTTGTTGCCCCTATGATGGAATATATGTTGGAAATTATTTTTAAGAGTTGAAAATTATGTTTGAGGCTCGGTTGGTCATGTTCTTGGGCTCGGTTTGGGCTCCTTTTAGTGTTTTATGTTGGCTGAAATATTTCACTGATTTGCTCCTACTTGCTGGTTTCGGTTTGCCCCTTGTGCTGGGCTCGGTTGGCCATGTATTTGAGCTCGGTTTGGGCTCCTTTTAGTGCTTTATGTTGGCTGAAATATTTCACTGATTTGCTCCTTCTTGCTGGTTTCGGTTTGCCCCTTGTGCTGGGCTCGGTTGGCCATGTTCTTGGGCTCGGTTTGGGCTCCTTTTAGTGCTTTAGGTTGGCTGAAATATTTCACCGATTTGCTCCTTCTTGCTGGCTTCGGTTTGCCCCTTATGCTGGGCTCGGTTGGCTTTGTTGAGAAAATAGTTTGGTGGTTGTTTTTGCTCCCTCCCTAGTTTTACATGTGAGCTTGTTTGTGAATTAATTTGGGGTGGATTGGGTGGCTGTTTTGCTCTTCTCCCTAGTTCTATTTGTGAGCTTGTTTGTGAGTTAATTTAGGGTGGATTGGGTGGCTGTTTTGCTCCTTTTCCAGGCCTTAGTCGTGAGCTAGTTTAGAGCTTAATTAAATCTTGTTTGGGGGCT